GGGGGAAGTACAGTGAATGTTGGTTACGTTTCTCTTCTGCTGCGTATCTTTGTGACATTGTACATCCTTAGGGCCCATTCACACACTTGCTCCGCCTTCCCTCGTGCATCAGACGTGCGTTGGGGAGATGTACTAACATGCATTGCGCTTCCAGAAATTCTCCATCTACCTTGTACAGCGCACATGAACAGGCGGCATAACGCACGTACACTAAACTCGCAGTGGTGTGAATGGGCCCCAAACACGAGAAGATTCCGGAGGTGACGGGACGCCGGTGATTATAATGTTGGAAAATAAATAATTTGCAGGAAATGTCTCAGAAATTGTCACATGTTACTCTGGTACACGGAAGTAGAATTCCAGCATTTCATACGTGACAATGACATGAAGTTCCTGCAGAGTCAATATTTGCTGTGTTGTCTCTTCTTATTCCAGACCTCTGCACTTCCCCCCGGCATGCTGCCAGACCTCTGCACTTCCCCCCGGCATGCTGCCAGACCTCTGCACTTCCCCCCGGCATGCTGCCAGACCTCTGCACACACGTGTTACATACGTGTTCTCCCATATTACTGTCATTGTATTATAGAGAGATTTGCAGAGTGGCCACTAGAGGGCGCTCACACTCCTCTCACCATCACTTCACCTCCCTCCGTACCAACTGCTGAGATACCAGCCACACGGGGAGTGCATTGTTCTCAGCAGGACGGCCAGCTCAGAGCCGAGACCTCAGCACAGAGATGGCGGGAACCCCTCATTACCATTCCAGGGGAGGACGGAGGTCAGATAGAAGACTGAAGGGGAGGACTGAAGGGGAGGACGGAGGTCGGATAGAAGACTGAAGGGGAGGACGGAGGTCGGATAGAAGACTGAAGGGGAGGACGGAGGTCGGATAGAAGACTGAAGGGGAGGACGGAGGTCGGATAGAAGACTGAAGGGGAGGTCGGATAGAAGACTGAAGGGAAGGACGGAGGTCAGATAGAAGACTGAAGTGGAGGTCTACATCCCCTCCACCAGGCCCAGGTGCTGAAGGGGTTAACTCATACATGAGCGCTCAGTGACTGTGTAAGACTCCACAACATGTGACCCCCCCATTGTACACACACCGCCTGTCATCATAAATCTCCCCCGCGGGGTCACCTACCTCCAAAGCAGCTTCTGCTTCCATCTCCATCTCCAGGCTCTGCTTACACTTCAGGAGATGTATTTCTGGCCCCTCCCCTCCGATCTGCTAATCACGTGGCTCCGGTCACCACTGAGAGAACACGTCATCGGGAGGATCACCCAGCTCATGACATCAGTGGGCGTGTCCGTCTCCGGGGGAACCAGGATCAATTCTACAGGAAATAGAGACACATCATGGCAAAACCTAGACCCCCTGCCAGGGTTGTATCGCTGCCGGTGGGCCCGCCTCCCATGAAGGAACCTCTGCTGATTGGCTGATGTGAGATGTTTCAGCCAACCTCTGAGGACTGACAAGAGAAGCTGGCGGCACAAAGACTGGAAACAGTAACAAATAAATGGTTTCCGCCATCCACCTACCCTCATCTCCTCATCCCGCTGGTCCTCCAGCATCATCTGACCCATCCATAGAGCCCGCCAGAGCCCCCCCCCATAGAGACCGTTCGACCCCCATACAGACCGTCCGACCCCCCC